AGATGCGAACCGAGAATAGCTCAATATTTAAAGTTATAAAAGTAAAACAAATGTAAAAAAGTAATTAAAATTTTGTTATAATATATGTAATTTTATAAAAAGTTAATAATAAATTTATATTCTTTAACGTTTAATAATATATGTTAATATATTATTAAACGTTAAAGAATATAAATTTATTATTAAAGTGAGTATTATTAAATATATGAATTGCATTTTAGTGATATCTTTTACGTTTTAATTTATTAGTATATAAATGTACTTTAATATATTAAAATAATGCATTTAGTTCTTGTTTTTTCATTTGTAAACATTAAAAAATTATATGTTTTTTTATTTGAAAAAAAAATTAAAAAATCTAAATTTGTTTTTTCTTTCAACAGTGATTGAAGAATTTGGATGTTGTGGTTTAGGAATGTTTGTAAAATTGTTTCGTTTTATTTTATTTCTTTCTTCTTTTCACAAAATTCTTTTCTCTAATGCAGTTATTTTTATTTTATTTATAATGCAATTACATGCATTGTATATTGTATACTCAACCTATTTGTTAGATGTATCCTGGATTTGTTATTCAAAATATTTTAAATTAAAAAAAATAAAACTAATTTAAAATGTGAAATAAAATAAATAATTCAAATGAACATTTCTTAAACTTAAAATTTAACATTTTCAATCACTTTTAAAGTTTAAACATGAAATAGCTATATATATAAAATAGAGTTTGTCTGTCTGTTCTCTATACATGTCTAAACCCTTTGATCTATCTGCACCAAATTTCTCATATTTACTTTCTTGCTCCAGTGGAAAATATAGGTTTCTATGAAACCTGAACACGCCATCCACAGATTTTATCCCCCTATCAACTCATAAACCCGTTGACCCATCTACATAAAATTTTTCATAGTTAATTTCTAGAACCATGTGGAAAATATAGACTACTATGAAACCTGAATACCTAATTCCCTGATTTTATTCCTTATCAAATCCTAAACTCTGACTCATACTCAACTCCATATACACCAAATTTTTCATATTTACTCTCTTGATCTTTATTGGAGGACACACTATCATTTTCCTTCATTTTTATCCTCCTGATCTTCGTAATATATGTAATAATGGTGGGATAATAATCAGATTTTTAATATAATTTTCATTTTCGTGTTTGTCCTTATTACTTTTCACCTGAGCAGCACCAGACAGCTCTGTTTCTTTATTATAAAAGTATATCTTAAGAATATACTTTTATAATAAAGAATACAAAATAAATATGAAGAAAATAAACAAAAAATTTAATTATTTATTTATAAAAATAATAATATTTTATAAAAATTATTAATTAATAAATGAATAATAAACAAATCAGATACTTATACAGTGGTACCTCAGGTTACGAACGCCCCAGCATACGAAATTTTCAGGATACGACATGAAATTCCAACATATTTTTGCTCCACGATAAGAACAAAAACTCACCATACGACGTTACATTAGTTCGCATTTTTCATTTGTTTTTCTTACTACAGTTATTTTTTTTAATGTATTACTTGGCTTTAATTTGAGTATGTTTTTCGCGTTGGAACGAATTATTTGGTTTTACATGTAATCGNAAGTTATTGGCTTCGTTGCTTAGTTTCAGTCATTCTTCATGAGGAAACGAAGTCGCAAACTGACTACTTTTTTCCATAAGCATTAGAAAGTGAAGAAAATAATCCGACATTTCCTTCGACAGTGAACTTTTTCCTCTTCTTTTTCTAAAAAAAGAGGAAAAAAAGCGGGTGAATATTGGAAACTTTCCAGAAATAAATACAACTAGTCATAAGGATTTATGTTACAGATGCGAACCGAGAATAGCTCAATATTTAAAGTTATAAAAGTAAAACAAATGTAAAAAAGTAATTAAAATTTTGTTATAATATATGTAATTTTATAAAAAGTTAATAATAAATTTATATTCTTTAACGTTTAATAATATATGTTAATATATTATTAAACGTTAAAGAATATAAATTTATTATTAAAGTGAGTATTATTAAATATATGAATTGCATTTTAGTGATATCTTTTACGTTTTAATTTATTAGTATATAAATGTACTTTAATATATTAAAATAATGCATTTAGTTCTTGTTTTTTCATTTGTAAACATTAAAAAATTATATGTTTTTTTATTTGAAAAAAAAATTAAAAAATCTAAATTTGTTTTTTCTTTCAACAGTGATTGAAGAATTTGGATGTTGTGGTTTAGGAATGTTTGTAAAATTGTTTCGTTTTATTTTATTTCTTTCTTCTTTTCACAAAATTCTTTTCTCTAATGCAGTTATTTTTATTTTATTTATAATGCAATTACATGCATTGTATATTGTATACTCAACCTATTTGTTAGATGTATCCTGGATTTGTTATTCAAAATATTTTAAATTAAAAAAAATAAAACTAATTTAAAATGTGAAATAAAATAAATAATTCAAATGAACATTTCTTAAACTTAAAATTTAACATTTTCAATCACTTTTAAAGTTTAAACATGAAATAGCTATATATATAAAATAGAGTTTGTCTGTCTGTTCTCTATACATGTCTAAACCCTTTGATCTATCTGCACCAAATTTCTCATATTTACTTTCTTGCTCCAGTGGAAAATATAGGTTTCTATGAAACCTGAACACGCCATCCACAGATTTTATCCCCCTATCAACTCATAAACCCGTTGACCCATCTACATAAAATTTTTCATAGTTAATTTCTAGAACCATGTGGAAAATATAGACTACTATGAAACCTGAATACCTAATTCCCTGATTTTATTCCTTATCAAATCCTAAACTCTGACTCATACTCAACTCCATATACACCAAATTTTTCATATTTACTCTCTTGATCTTTATTGGAGGACACACTATCATTTTCCTTCATTTTTATCCTCCTGATCTTCGTAATATATGTAATAATGGTGGGATAATAATCAGATTTTTAATATAATTTTCATTTTCGTGTTTGTCCTTATTACTTTTCACCTGAGCAGCACCAGACAGCTCTGTTTCTTTATTATAAAAGTATATCTTAAGAATATACTTTTATAATAAAGAATACAAAATAAATATGAAGAAAATAAANTACAAAAGAAAATAATATAAAACTTACTTTAAAAAATAAAAAAATATGAAGTGCAAATGATTTATTTTGGACAACTAAGCAACAGAACTATTAAGAAAGAAAGATATTCTGTCATGTAGGAGTTTGCTGTGGGAAAGATTTGGAAAGTATCCAAAATCTCAGCTATAATTTAGAAAACAATTTGATCTAAACTACCCTTGACCTTCTATATATATATGTATATATACTGTTAACATTGTATCAAACTAATTACATCAATTCCGAAGCTATATAATATATTGATATCATTATTTATTTGCAAATTGTCTTAGAAAATATGAATTTAAAGTATAAAATTATTATTAAATATCTTTGAAATTTTATTTATTATTTAATTAATGTATTAAATTCTTAGTTTTATCTCTTATAAAGTGTAAAAGGTTAAAAGTTTAATTTAAGAACGGCTGAATTATTATCCCTTTGCTCAAAATAATTTTATAGATTTTTTCTTTAATTAAGAATTCAGCAATTTACTTCTTTTCATAAAATTAATTAATGTTAAGCATTGTTTAAAGTCATTATTATTGATATCTTTATTCAACTTAAAACATTAAAATCTAAATTATGCACCAGAAAATTCACAAATTTTCTAAAGTTTATGATTTATTTTTGTTGTCTAAATATTTATAAGAATTTATAATTAAATAATTATTATCTTAAATGAAATCATATAAAATAATGAAGAGGATAATTATTTAATAATATATTTTCTTAAATATTTAAAAAGCATAAAAGTAATGCACAAACTTTAGAAAATTTGTGAATTTTCTTGTGCATAATTTAGGTTTTANGTAAATCACGAATCTGCATGCAACCTCTTATGATCCTCTCTCCGCTCCTCCAATAAATTTTGTTTTTATGAAGACTCTAAAATTTTACGTATTATAGGAAGTGAACGTTATAGAGAAAAAAATGTTTCCAATTTTTCTCTTTGCTAATATATATGTATATATATTTTTTATTTCTTAATAAACCAATAACTTTAATCAGTATCACATTTTATATAAATTTAATTACGTTATAAACATTTTATACTTGAATTTTTTGCATTAATTTTTGTTTTATATCTTTTATAACGATATAAAAATATAATATCAAATGTACTTTTTAAATTGGAGCAAAAATAAGTATCAGGTTCTTTACTTTAACTCGAATATAAGAAGTATATCAAGATACACGATATCTACTATTGATAGTTTTTCCTTTTATAAAACGGGAAAAAAGGCTTTTCTGAAGTGAATTCGGAGTTTATTTTATCTTAAAAGATATGAATTTCGAGTTTATTTTTTGATAAAAGTATGGTTTCCCGAGTTAATTTTGTGCTAAAATATATTTAAAATTTCATAATTGAAAAAGCTGACGTCGTTGTTGCTTGACTTTTCCAAAATTATTTATTTTTTTTCATACTGAATAATTGTTAGATTGGTTCGAGAGATATTAAGGAGATGAGGAAATATCTCCCAAACCAATAGTCCAATTTTCCTGAAAATTTACAGAAAAATTTTACCCTATCACAGAAACCTTGATACAAAATTACAGAAATTTTTGGCAAACGGCATAAGAGTTATTAATTAAAATTTAAAATGATGAAAAAATTCGTGCCCCATACAATAATATCTATACATACAAAAAAACACGATTTTTTTTGCAGTTCTCGACATTTAAAGGTCCACCGAGTTCAAAAATGCAAAAACATTGAGATCGATCGCCATCCTTTCCTCTGTTATATATAATAGCCAGGAAACTAAAATAATGCTATTAATATAATAATAAAATTTAAAAAAAACATTATTTTACTAATTTCAAATACTAATTTAATTCTAAAAATTAAACGATTTTAATTCTAGATTACAAAATACAGAATAGCGAAGAAAAACTTCTAGAAAATAATTTATTACAGACAGAATTTACGAGTAATCAAATGCCCGAAATTAAAATAGAAGTAAGTATTTAATTTTAAAAAAATTCTCTCACTTTTCAATTAAAGATCAAAGATTTATTTTATGATCTTTCAAGACTTTTAACATTTTATTTTATTTATTTATTTAGGATGAAGATAAAGATACTTACCATTTCGTTCATTCACCAACGAACAGTATTGAATATCCCCAAGGTACTAAACAAATGAAAGTACCTATCAGCAGAATACGACAATGCATAGAGAAATTGCAGACTGAAGTTTAGAAGGTAATTATACACGATTCCACTTGTCGTTTATGATTTTTTAAAATCATAATTATGGTATTTATTATTAAATATGTAGTGTAAAATCTAAATATTCTAAGAAAAGTACATAAATTTATATTATTATCTACTAGACTATTTAATTAGTCGATAATGCAAGTTATTAATTAGAATAAAATTTTACATAAGCCGAACCTGCAATAACGAACACCTGTAAACAGCGGCCATTTTTTAATGTTTTCATCAGTGGTCGTTGTTTAGAAGATTGTATTAAAATTTTTATAAATTAATTTATTATTTAAAATAAATAACTTAAATCTGTATGTAATATATTATCTCGTACTCAAGCAGGAGATAAGGTATTTAATATGCATATTTTTTAAAATATTTAAATAAAAATAATAAAATTTGGATGAAATAAAGTTTATTATAATATTTAAATTATTTAAGAAAATAATAAATAAGTCAAATCTGTATAAAACGAATCAATTAATATACTTCTTGTAATCCCCTATTTAGCGATATTTGATAAGTTTATTTTTTTAAAATGTAAATAAAAATAATATAAAAATATTTAAAAAT